GTAAAAGTGCACGGACCTGTCAAGGCCACTCGCGTAAGGCGCCGGTACCTCTGGCGAAACTGAAAGGTGTCCGAGGGTCGACTGATCTCGGAGACCTACCGGGCTCGTTAATATGCATGATTGTGCTGCAAAAACCGGGCTGCAAGGGACGGGCGAATCTGAAAGGTTGGTCAAGATCCGATTGGAAAAGGAATAGAGAACGAGCTTTGACTTGAAGGAAATAGTTATTTATCTGTTATGGCTCGCCAAGTATCATCGCATTCATCATAGCTGACAAGAAATAGCCAGGAACAATTTATCTGTCCATTTCGGTAAGCATTGGCACTATGATAAAGTTCCAGGTAATTTTCAGTCTCTTTGAAAAGGAATCGAGCCATTGCGTATAAAACATCAGTGAGGGCCCGCGAGGCGTTGGGAACACGCCTATTTTCGGTACCTAATTATGTTCTTACTAATGGGCGCCATTAATAAAAAGCGATGTGTCAAGTCCCGGCCTATTTCAGATGCAACCATTAGTTACTACATAAACAACACCAGTTACGAGAGTCACAAAATCACACGTTTCTAGGACCGGTGGTAAAATATAGATAATTATATGCATTTACGTAACAGGCGAGTAGGTAAACGACAAGCAGGAATTGGAAGAAATGTCGGAAGTGAAAAATGCCGTCTTTCATGACGTTTTCCAGGTACGAATGTATTATAAATGATAGTAGATGGCATCCCGTGACCCGTATAAGCTTTTCACAAAACGTTTACAAAGCTATGACGTTAGGGGAAGGAAGGTGAATTGCGCCACCTTAAAGGGACCCTCCCACCTTCAAAAAAGTTAATGAATTGGCATGAAAGTGATGTCGCTCGGTTCAGAAAGAGCAAAAACGAATATCTACCAAATTTCATCGAAAAAATATTCACCGGTTTTCAAGATATTAGATTTTTACTTTTGTTTACTTTTTGGGATCTCCGCTGTTCCTAGCGACTTTATTTGAAAGTGCGGCATTTGTTGCGCGCAAAGCAGCATATACCACCGCGTGCTACCAAACGTTTTAGTAAAAGATTTAAAATCGTTAGATCTCCGCTGACGTCACAAATTCTAAGGGGGCATACCAATGCATTAGCCCCTTAGAATCCGAAAACTGCAAGTTTGAAATTCGATATCTCCGAATTAAAGCATTTTTCGATGTTGTGAGTGCCCAAACCGGTATTTTCAGGCCATGGCCACCAATTTGGCTATCTCAACTCAAATCTAATGTTAAGGTGGGAGGGTCCCTTTAAGGAAAAACGCTAATTGTAAGAAAACCGCTGGAGATATTAGCATGCACTGGTAACCATTTCAAAGAGGAGCTCATTGGCTACGATTTAAGAGCCTCCCGATCAATAAAGAATGTTTCGTTTACTTCTGACAGCTGCTTTTTCAGAAACATGCAAAAGGGCGCATTTGCCAACAACTGCTGTAAATTGCGCCAGGGGGATGGCGCAATTAGAACCCAATTGCGCCCTATACATTAACATGGCTAAGTGAATGAGACGGAATGCATACACCCCGGCAGTCTAATGTCATTGCAGCTTACCTAAACATTTATTATGTTATTCAGGCTGGATAAATAATAAATGTAGATATAAATCGCGATGTTTTTTGCCCAGGTAGATAACTTAACATGTGTCCGTACGCTTGTAAAAGTGCAACGAAAACGTTTACTGTAACCGACTAGATATATGTGAACGTATGCGCCTATTCAGTTAAATTTTCACTCGTTTCTCTCAAAATTAATAATTTTTATCGTTTTGACAACTTAATGGCATCAGTTTTTACTTTTTTATAATAGCTGTCACTTCTCACGCCTGAGTCCATGTTGAAAATGTCGTATTTTGTCAATTACACCACAAGTCGTAGCCTAAATGGCAGCTGCATTAGGGGAGAGCGGGGTGAGTTGTATCATGTCCAAGTTGTATCAGGGCGAATTGTGCCAAACTTATCCAATGGATGGCGCTCGCGACACGACCAGCCGACGAGGTTTTCCGGGCGCCATCTTTCCCTGTTCTGTCTTGTGGCTGAGTGGACGCGTCTCGAGGTGAGAGCCGATTTTATGTTTTTTTAATGTCATTCTAAAAAAATAAGTTGCAAGAAAATGTGTGTTCTGGGCATTTAGATGTGCACGAATTTGAAAGATCTCCGTAGCGGTGGTGAGGGTAGGTTCTAAGGCTGCGTGAGTGAAAACGGATTTCTCCAGCTGTCCGCTGTTTTTTTAGCACGAGGATGTTTTTTCCAAGATGGCGGCTAGGTACATGTTGTATCAGAGCCGGGTGGGGTATGTTGTAACATGTATGTATGTATGTATGTATGTATGTATGGGTATGTTGCTTTTGATAGCGAAAGCTAAGCCCTGGCTCGCGTTTGTAGGTAGCTAGTCAATGCTCGTTCCATTCCGGCACAATGTGTTGGCTTCTTTGCTCTTAACGGGCCACTTTTGCGTCTAGTCTGTTGATGTTTCGTTCGGATTGCATTGACCTAAGTTTGGTCTAATAAAGGGAAGCCTTTGAGCATACCTATACATTGTATTAACCCCATTTAATGTTGTTGTTATGTTCAAAACCAATAGGAAGCACACTCCCTGAAACGTGAAATAGTGATACAAATTACCCCACCATGTGATACAACTCACCCAAGCCATGGGGCAAGTTGTATCAAAAACATTGTTCTATTCGGGAGACCGTAGAAGAAAAACTGGTAGAGGTAGCGGAAAAGTTACTTTGCACAAAAAAAGCAGAAGAATCAAGGAAGGGGATAGTATAGAAATAATGAGTTTATCACGGATAGTTACGAGGTTATGGGTCTCGGAGTAAAAACTGATACAACCCACCCCACTCTCCCCTATAAGTTTGACGATAGAAATAATTTGCGGACTAACGACAGCGGGCTGCTCCCTTGCCTGACATTAAACTCCTTCTTTATTGCAATCAGTTAATGATGCATTCATACTGTCGTGAGACAATGGCTACACCATTATTCTATTTGCGCCCCCCTGGCGCAATTGCCATGGGCGCAATTAAAATTGAGGTACTTTTTAATAAAAGCATAGAAGTTATTATAAAGATGTTGCAGGAAGTTAACGGTTTCAGTGAAATACAATGAAAAAAGGGTTTTTCTTTCTAAATATCACTCTGAAACAGGGGCGGAGAATTGTCCTAATCCCAGGGGGCGCTTTTCAGCACCTGGTGATTGGAAGCGTCGAATTTTCGCGTAGAAAAGCACATAAAAGTACGCTTTTCCAACAGCATCACTCTTCTCGCGACTTACGTAAAGCAGTTTGTGTCTCAGACGTAGTTTAAGCAACCACTGGAGCACTATTATATAGGGACCTTTGAATTTCAGGGGTGCTCGAGCACCCCCAAAACCCCTAATTCTCCACCCGTGCTCTGAAAATCACACAAATATCGCAAATTTTTATAGCCAACGGTTCAAAATACTGCAAAAAAGTTAAGAAAACGCCATAACATCTTTGATGGCGTAATGAGCCTTGCTGATGGGCTTCATCGGAGTGTTTGGGCCATAGGTAAAATGAACAATCCAGGTGTGAAAATAATGTTTTCGAACACAAAATTCTAAACATGCCATTGAATCCGTGGGAATGTTGGTGGGCGCAATTGGTTAGGAGGGCGCAATACACCCACTTTCCCCTATATAATGTTTATAAAATGCTACGGTACATTCCGGCACTCCTTTGGTAAAAATTAATTGTAAAAATCAAATTGCAGCCAGAAATAAACTTTCCAGACGCTTTCAGCTCCTATAAAATAATTGTCATTGATTCGGAATTCGGACTGTTTCGGAATTCTACCAAAACTTGATTCTGAATAGCATTTTTGCTTTTGAGAGACTGCGTATAGGTATTTAAAATATCTGGACACATCGTTTAAATGTATCATTTAGCACACCGTTTAAACAACGTTTGAATGAACTTATTCGAACCTCATTTTGTCTCGACCACATCATTTTAAATCATGGCCTGGCTACACTATGCGTTTACAGGCGAAAATGCAGCCAAGTAGCACGGCAGGTATAGGTAATTGTTTCCCCAATATGAGTTCAAGCCGACCGAAACAATATGAATGATTAGTGATTATAAATCAAATATGTTACGGTAATCCGATAATCTATTTTTTCGGGTTAAACTTTTTTCAAATCTACAAGAATAAGGTCATTATAACTAAAAAAAACTAGGTCAATAAAATATTTGCCTAGTACATACCTATGAATCAAGGTTATTGAAAGCTGGGTAAGTATATAAGATGAGCCACATGATTGTTTGTCATTGCGCCAACAATAACTCGCTTTAAGTTCTAATCTTGCACATAGGCGGCGGAACGGGGAGGGCACTGGGGCACCGTGCCCCCCTTTGATTTTGGCATTTTAACATTAGCCCTATGGGCGTTGCATGGAAAGAATAAGACCAAAAGTCGGCAGTGCCCCCCCCCCTTAATTGAAGGCGTTCCGCCGCTACTGATCTTGCATTACATTTATATACCAATTCATGCAAATTACTATGATATATAAGAGGCAGGTGTGCCTAGCTATCGTTAGCATATATTTTGTAGGTACTCATTTGGTAAGGGTAGGCCGCATCTGCATGTTCTAGATGATGAATAAGGGCTAAGTAATTCACACCAATGCGTTACTCTAGCAAGCTGAACCCAAAAACGACGACCATTTGCCATCGTCTCCTTCTAGGAACTTATACCTATTAACGATAAGGCAGGACATTGATTTTTACTTGTTCAAAAACTTGATTTTTTTTCTAATTGAATATAGACCAGAAACTTAAATAGACCCATAACCTCCGTCGAGCAACATAATTCGACCTTTGGTAACCTCGAGTGACCTTATGCTGATTGACGTTCGTATAGGTATGGGCACACAAACTGATGCATGAAGCACAACTAACTCACGTCATACATGTAGGTATCGAATGCCGCCCTGCAGCGTAGTCGCTGCTGCTTACCTCTGGCTGCCGAGGCCACGCACACCACGAGGATGAGGTACAGCATGCTGGCCAGCGGACGGACGTGCGCACTGTCTGCGGGCTCAGCGGCAAATGACAGGGGCGAGACGAGCGGTGAAGGCAGATCTTCGGGCGGCCCCTCGGCTGGCAGCAAACGCGGCAGCACTGACGCAATGAGCACCGCGGTGGCGGCATTTTATCCGCGCTGGTTACAAAATGAGCCGGCCTCCGCGGCGCCGCCGGCAGCGCCGGTCCTGCCGGCGCGCGCGCGGAGAAAGGGGGCAGGTCGCCGCCGCCGCCGGCCTCCGCCCCCCGCCGTCCGAGCCAGGCCCGCCCGCGTCCATACATATTCAGCGCGGGCCGCGGATGGTCCGCGGCGCGTCCGCGCAATGTCGACTGCGCAACTCAGTCGAACGCTGCTCAGTAGTCAGCGCAGTTCGGGAAGTACGGGGTCTCATGATGATTCATTTTGCTTACTTCCTCGGTAAAAGAGCTAGACCAAGAGAAAACGTCATCGGCTAATAAAAACACTGATAGGCTCAGTTGCATTGAAATTCATTATTCAATCGACAGGCGAAGCACGAAAAGCTATCGGTGTGCTAGATCTCAAGACCTTTGAAACCGTCTCCTTTTGAACATCGTACGCTGTTTGAACACCGCGCTGTCTATGCGACCATCAATAGCCTGAAACACAATAGAGATAAAATAACAAAGTAGACCAAAGCACTGCATATAGTGTCCAGTATAGGGAAATGTTCCGAATTACGATTAGCCCGCGCTCTTCAACACCGCAACAACACAGCCGTTTGATTCGTTAGTACGGCGAAAGTCTTTTTACTACCTATTGCTTGAATTCTTTAACACGCATTTTCTTTTAGCTTGCACCTAGACCCTTTATGTCCAAGGCGTATGTCGAATGTTGATATTTCGCAACCCTTCAGCTAAAACATCAGTTGGGAAGTCACTTGTTCCCCTTTTGCAGCCTAACGTTATTTACAGGCAGTTTAAATGATATTACCTTTATTGGTTCAATGAGTCCTTTCGGGCATTCCTTTCGGAATCAAGTTTGTATACCTAATAATTATGAATGCTGCCAAAACCAATTATCATGATGATTTAAAGGCTGATGTTCTGTCCTTGATACGTAGCCGAAAAACGCGCTTATGGTAGGTATGCAATATAACTGCATTAGGTGCAACGAAATGGAGGAAGTAGTCGGATTTTGTTTATATGCATGCCTACAATAAACTTTACTAATATTTGGATATTCCTAACGCCACTCATATTCCTAGGCGGTGGAACGGGGAGGGCACCGGGGCACCGTGCCCCCTTTGATTTTGACATTTAAATGTTAGCCCTATAGGCGTTGCATGGAAAGAATGGGACCGAAAGTCGGCATCGGCAAGACCCCCCCCCCCCCCCCACACACACACACCTTTAATTGAAGGTGTTCCGCCGCCACTGTTCATATTTGCTCAAGACGGTAGGGTATATGAAATCGGAAGGGACACGAACAGGAAGATTTATGTCTCTTTTTATCGTTTAGTTACGGGTTACACTTGGTCAAATTATTCTTAGCACTTGGTCAAATTATTCTTAGCCGTTTTTGCGACAGCTATCTGGTATACATTCGGTTCACATTTGGTGCAGATTTGATGCAGGCTTATACCTATAGGTACCCCGTATACCTGCTTTTCCAAATCATCAGACATTATTTTTGATTATTTATTTTCGATTATTTTCGATTGCCTAAAACAGTGAAATAAATTTATGATGTGTAGATGTTTCTTATAAAACAGATCTTGGGCACATTTGGCCAAGTTTGGTGCATTCGCTGGATAACCCGTCGTGAAAACGGCTATTATTTGTTAATGAATTATTTAAAATAATTTAAAGATAATAGTGTTATGCCCCAGGGTAGCCCAAAACTAAACAAATTAAAAGAAAATGTTTTCTAATTTCTAATTCTAATTCCTAATCATTTACCCGAAGAAAATAGGTGACACTTTGTCAACATCTGATTTATCTCTACACGGGAGGAAGTTAATACGTAGAGACTTCATGACTTTATGCCTCCGAGTGGAAGAAAAGGATAGGTATCTTTTCCAAGCTTTTCCATGCAGTAAACGTGTAGGCTGTGACACGCTGATCACACCATACAGGGTCTAGAACTACACCATTTTCGATGCATTTTAAGACAAATGAAGTCCAATTTAAAACAGTTGATTTCTGAATTAAAACAATTGACAGGCGGGTTAAAACACGTGACATTCAGCTTAAAACAACTGATATGCTATTTAAAATAAATGACAAGCAAATTAATATAAATGACATGCAACTTAATCCTACAAATATAGGTACGTAAAGCTATGTTGAATAATTATGTTTTGCTGCAAATGAAAAAAAATGTTGTGTTCGACTACATGATTATTTGTAGGGAGAAAATTGAAAGACGCCTCTTTTGGACGAAAGTCCCTCTAAACACTTTCAAACACCGAATTACAAGTAACGTTGACAGTTGACCCAATGAACAAAAAATACATAGCACCCGTGACCCTTGTTTATGCCCATGAGGTCATGTCAGGTCACGAAGGGTATCTAGCAGGTTTTAGCAAAGAACTTTGGATAGAGGCATGTTAGAGCGATGAAAACGCCTTAGATTTGTTAAGCTCCACGATACGGATCGGCAGATACGCAGCATGACCATTTCCGGTCAGGTCAAGACCTTGGCCTGAGGTATTTTTTTCAATTTGACCTTTCAAGGTCAAATTATAGTTCATTCGATGCGTCTTGACGAGAGGAACACGATGCAGGTAAAGTGTAGCTCGTGCAAGGCTTGAGTCAAAAGTTAGTGCAAAAAAAAACTGTCCACAAAAATAGTCCATTTTGGCAGTTTTGCCACCTGCAGGCTAGAACGTTGACGTTACATAGATCAAATATGCAGGGAGAAATATTCAAAGAGAGCGTTAAGTGGGCTATCAAATGCGCTTTTCCTCGGCGCTGTAGCTCTCTTGGTTCCCGAGTTATGTGTCGGCTTCTAAAAATTGTTGACATTTGGCCTGAAAATCTGCAACATTTGGCCTTCAATGACCTCTGGTGACCTGACCTTGACCTGAGCAAAAAAGTGACTGAAGTAGTTCCGTCATTTTGTTTGTCACTCTTTCGCACACTGCCTGCCGCGTATCGCTGCGTGGCCCATGGGGGAAGGGTGTTCAAAGTTCAATCCCCCCCCCCCCCAGCAGGGCGTGGAAATCCAGGACCCCCAGCGGGATGCGGGTTAAGGAGAAGGACAGTGTAGTGTACGATTCAATGTCATCGTATGGAAGCTCTAACGCCAGTCATTTTGAATTTTTAATCCAATGAAGCATTGCTATGTTAAAGTTCTACGAACTTCACAATTGCAAATATGTAGTCGAACACATTGTTTATTTTAATTGCACTAAAACGTAATTATTCAGCATAGCTTGAAGTAACTATAATTTTATGATTAAATTGCATGTCATTTATATTAATTTGCTTGTCATTTATTTTAAATAGCATGTCAGTTGTTTTAAGCTGAATGTCACGTGTTTTAACCCGCCTGTCAATTATTTTAATTCAGAAATCAACTGTTTTAAATTGGACTTCATTTGTCTTAAAATGCATCGAAAATGGTGTATACCTAATATAACTATAATAATAAGAGCTACAATAATAAGAAACACTTTCCTAGTATCGGGCTGCCTTATGGTACAGCCTACAATGCAGTTTATTTCAGTGGTTTTTGAAAGTTCAAAGTCGGAAATACAGTTGCCTTTTAATGAATTCGTTCATTCACGTTTTAAATTTCATGAATTTCTTCCGTTTCTTTACCGCTCCCGATAAATGTAGCAAAATCGGGATTGCTCTGTCAATGGTCGATTTTGATTAACCTTTTATCACTCCAGCATCACTAGCCTAAAGCAGCCCACGGCGCCGGCCTAACGGTCTCATAGCCTGCCGGTCACAGCCGCTGCGGATGTGGTTATCCTGCGCAGCGCGAGCGGCTCAGTCGGGACCGGCGCGACGAGACGAGCCCGGCACTCGGAACCGGCGCGGCGGGACGATCTCGGCAGTCGGATCGGAACCGGCGCGGCGGGACGATCTCGGCAGTCGGACGACCGGCGCGGACCGGATCTGGCGCAATGACCGGCCCAATGACGCGCCACGCCCGGCGGGATGCGGCGCTCCACTGGGGTGGAGGGTACGACGCACCTGCTACTAACCCGACTGGTGTGGAGAGTACGACGCACCTGTCAATAACCCCAGCCTCATATAGCATGGAACAATGCCAGACTACCACCATGAAGCGTAATGCCTGATCAGGTTAGGGGAATAATTTATGTCCTACGGCCATTTGCACCAAAACCGATACTCGATAGGTCCGGCAAGGTTTTAAACGTTATAGAGTATACTGTATAGCTGTAGCTTAGGTGCCTAATTATTTTAGATATTTGATGGATGGATTAATGATATATTACTTATTACGCCTCTCTCTCTCCCCCTCTCTCCCTCCCCCTCTCTCTCTCTCTCTCTCTTTCTCGACTCTCTCTCTCTCTCTCTCTCTCTCTCTCTCTCTCTCTCTCTCTCTCTCTCTCTCTCTCGCGAAGGGCAGCACTGATCCGCTTCTTTCAGTTTAGTGTCACGCATTGAAAACTCTGATCTATTCGTTATCTGGTCCCTTTATTACCCTTCACCTTCACTACCCTTCAGTATCTGGTGGCAGTCGTGTTGATAAAAAGAATCTCATTAGTTGTTAGCTGGTGAGATTCTTCCCCTAAAACACACTCGACTCTCATACGACACACACAAAGAAGCGGTTCAGGTCATCGGGCGGTATGTCCTGTGTGGCGCGGCCGTTTCGAACACTTCCCATTGCCGACTGCACCACCCTCCAGATGGCAAGTGTCCTTTTCCTTGAGCCGCAGCGCCACAGCTCGTGACAGACGGCTGTCAATTGTCATATACCTAATCGGCCGCCTGGCGTCCCGACTCACTGGTATATATCCTATATCCGACAGAGTTAGGCCGACAGCCACGGGCGTCACTTTCCAAGATTTATTGGTAGGGTTCTAATGGTTAACCAAAGACATTCTTACCATGCACCGCCGTAGCCTTATAATGTTAAAATTATGAAATTATTGGTAGGGCTCGGGCCCTACCAAGCCTTTACAAAACGACACTCATGCCGACAGCGCGGCGAAGGAACAAAAGGTCACGAGTCGATTCATTTTAACACAGGCGCACAAAAATTCTTTTTCTGCTTGGGGCATATGAGTTGGTATGTCCCAAGGATAGA